CTAGGGGCGGCTATATTAAGTTAGTATTATTAATATATTTCTATAAGTTTTTTAAGGGCCGCGATTTCTATATCGTTATTAGACTATTAGAGTAATTTTAAGAGGCGAGGGACTAAAGAATGTCTAAATTGATAATATAGATAGCGTAATTTACCTTTTGTTAAGTAGTTAATAATAGCCTTTTCGTTATTAAAGAATAGAAGCTAAGGGTATCCCTATTTACGAATAATAAATACTATAACGTCTCTTTTAACTAATAGGTTATTAATATTATTAAAGTATACTCCTAGTTTATCTATATCCTTTAAATAATATAAAAAAGAAGTATTAGTTAGTAAAAGGTAAAAAGTAATATTACTAAATAGGGTATTAACGACTATAGATCCTAACGACTTTACGGGCTCGTTATTATTAAAGCGGATATTTATTTTACTAGTTTTAGAAATATTAAAAATAACTTTAGGCCGTTATCTTTATAAAGTAAGAAGTTAAGGGTAGCTAGTAGTTAAGAATTCCGCTACTTTAGTATTAAGTATAATACTTTAAAAATTATTTAACGAGTACTTTTTAAGTAATAAAAAAGAGGTTATTAATTCTATAGGTTTAGTTAACCTATTAATAGAAGTAGTACCCGTAAAGCTATACTTTATTATTTAAATAGCAAAGATATTTATAAAAGTCTTTTTATTTATAGTCGTTATAAAGTAAGTTAATGAAATCTAGACTTCGTTATTATTATCTTTGTAATTAAAGTTAAGACTATTAAAGTACTAAACTATAACGTTTTTATCGTTATTATCGTCCTTAGTAAGGGCAATTCCTTTATAAAACGTAAAGAATTATAAGTAAAAGCTTAGTATAAATCTCTTGTTTTTTCCTTTATTATTTTTATATTTTTAGTATACTCGACGTCGTTCTTTTTCTAAGTATTTAGTTAATTAGTAGCCGGTTTTATAGTAAATAAAGCACTTTTTATTAATAGTGCCGCGGCTACGTTAGTTTTGTTTATTAAATCGGGTCTCTTTATTAGAGCCGCTATAAATATAATCAGTTTAATAAATAGCGGGGACCTCTTTATCGTTAATAATACTTTAAAAATATTATTACTATTTACTATAGTCGCGTTCTTTTTTTATAATATTAATTAAAGTATTAAATTAATAGTAAATACTAGTAAATATAAGCACTAAATTAAGGATAGTAAGTCTATATTCTAGTACTCCGCTTATATAATAAAAGAGTTAGTTACTTAAGTTAAAAATAAATTCTTTAATAACTAGCGCTTTGTAAAGAATTAAAATACGGTTAATTAGTGCTTAAAGGATTTATTAATTTAACTTTTCTAGGTTTTTATAAACTATAGAGTATTAGTAAAGATTATAGAGCTTAGTAAAGTAATTTTAATAGCTTATAAAAGGTTTGAAATACTTTTAGATCCTTTAGTATATAACGTCGAAGCTAAGCGAGTTAGAAGTACTGCTTAGTTAATTAAAATATAAAGTTAACGCTCTACTTTTAAATATATTTAGGAAAATACTAATATAATATCGCTTACTAATCCCCGCTCGTTAGTAAAATACTTTAAAGATTTATAGCTTTTTATTAAAGATATCGTATTTCTTATTACTATATTTATTTTTATCGTTATATAGCTTAGCGAGTTTAATTAATTAACGAGTATTAAATATAATATTATAATTAATTTCTTTATTAAATTAGGTTAGCTAACGGGGTAAATTTCGCGATTAAATAATAATAACTTTATTTTTTAGTTCTTTTTCTTTCTAAAAAGGAGGTAGGTTAGTTAGTTACTAGGGCTAAGGTTAGAATTTTATTTATTAAAAAGGTATTAACTAAGGTTATATAAACTCTTTTATTATCTCTTTAATTTATTAAATAAGTTTATTAATATTTTCTAGTAGTAAGAGTAGTAAATAAAAGAAATATAGATCGAGGTATAGGGCGTTAAAGTTTTTAGAGCGGTTTTAATAAACTACGATCTTTTTGAAGCTCTAAAAAAGAAAGTATTTTATTTTAATTATAATAGCGAGCTTATTTACTATTCGTTAATAATCCTTAATCGTTAAGTTAATATTATTATTTATAAGGAAATCCCTAAACTTTTTAAAGACCCCGGCTTTAATTTTTATAAAGTCCTTTACGTTTTAGTTCTTAAAGTCGTTTTAATACTCCTTTTATAGCTTCTCTCTCGTTAATTTCTTTTAGAAATAAATAATTAATAAGAAAATAATAAAAGTATTAATATATTTATAAGAGACTAGAGCGGGCTTAATAGTAAAGCTACCCTATTAAGTTATTTTAATAAAATCCTACTAATAAAATAGAATTATATTAGGGCTTATAATTTAAGAGTATAGATAGTTTAAGTTCGAGAACGATTAATCGTTTATCCTTTTTTATTTACTACTAAAGTATTACGACTTAATACGTATAATAAAGCCAGGGCCTACCCTATAGGACCTATAGCGGCTATTATACTATATATATAGAAATAGCGGACTTAAAATAACTCCTCTTAAAATAAAAAGACTATAAATAAATTACATAACTATAATTATATAATAAAATAAAAAACGGACGCCTATAAATAAATAGGACGTACGATTGTAAATAAATAGAACGGACGACCGTTTAGTAAATAGTTAGATAATAATAAATAAAGATATTATAAAAAATATATTTAAAAACGAGACTTATATATAATATAGACTTAAACCGGGCTTAAAAATAAACTTCTTATAGCTTTTTTAATAATTAATTTAATATTAAATCTTATAATCGCTTTTAATTATTTTTATTAAAAACCCTTTTTTCTAAAACTATAATTAATTATTAAAGCCTTATTTACTTTAATATTTATAAATATAGCTTTAAAGAAGCTATTTATAATTATAATACTATTTATTTAGCCTTCGCAGCCTTAATTTTTATTAATATATTTATTATAACTAACTAGCCGTAATACTTTAATTACTCCTATTTAATAAATTTATTTTATAAAAGACTAACTAAATAATATAAATATATTGACTATTAATAATAATAATATA